ATGACGTCGATATTCGACGTCATAAACACCATCAAGTTTGGTGTTTATGACGTCGATATTCGACGTCATACACACCATCAAGTTCGGTGTTTATGACGTCGATATTTGACGTCATAAACACCATCAAGTTTGGTGTTTATGACGTCGATATTCGACGTCATAAACACCATCAAGTTTGGTGTTTATGACGTCGATATTCGACGTCATAAACACGAGCAAGTTTGGTGTTGATGACGTCGATATTCGACGTCATAAACACCATCAAGTTTGGTGTATATGACGTCGATATGCGACGTCATAAACACCATCAAGTTTGGTGTTTATGACGTCGATATGCGACGTCATAAACACGAGCAAGTTTGGTGTTTATAACGTCGATATTCGACGTCATAAACACCATCAAGTTTGGTGTTTATGACGTTGATATTCAACGTGATAAACATTCAACTTAGATGTTTATGACGTTGATATTCAACGTCATAAACATTCAACTTAGATGTTTATGACGTTGAATATCTTCGACATAAACATTCACTGTCCTTAACGATTGCGTGATGAGAACTCTTCAAACATTATAACTGTACTAGGTTTATGTACCTTACCTTGACAAAGTATCTGAGATCTGAAGGGACAACGAACACGTCAGGTTTACACGGCAACCGCGCATGCTCAGCAAACACTTCGTAATCGACACAAACGTCTTCAGATGGTGGGAATAACGGATAATAACTGAAAAGGGGAAAGAATTTGCAGCTAAGAGCTGAATGCAACTTAAACTTGCCCGATTGAAAGCTTAAGCTACGTTTACACGCTGGGATTAATCGTGTACGATTCGTTTTCTGGCGTATGTCACTGAGTAAAGACGCGTAAGCTGGCTACATTAGAAATTTCTTTTTAACGAAACTTCAATGAATTAAGGCGCCAGCACTCATTTTAATACGCGAGAATACGAATCGTACACGATTAATCGAATCGTACACGATTAATCGTAGCGTATAAACGTACCTTTATAAATTAAGGCGTGTCTGGCTGCCAACATCTGAATACAACTACTGGCATCTATAGGATCCCAGAAAATTTTCAGACCTGGCTTAGCTGACAGAAAATTTTAGGCATTGTATAATACCAACAGCCACAGAAAGTAATTTATTAGGAATAAAATTAGTGACCTCGGCAGAGAACTTTGACCCCACAACTTAGGATCCCAGAAACAAAAAGATTATTTCCTGTTGCCTCCACACGATTTTTGGAGTTCCCTATAACTAGGTTGTTGCTAAGAACATGGTCACCAGCTATTTTGGTAAAAAACTACCTTACGGTTTTCCCGCAGAAGTGAGACCTCTGTATGTTAGTACTCTGTGGTGGTGAGGTCGAGGGTATAGGGGGTATAAGGCTCTTGATTCCAATCTTACATTATACAAATAATGAATGTTTATGAGTGCAATGGTAAGAATATTTTCATGAGGTGAAAGATGAAATGTTCCATTCAACGAGGCGACAGCAGAGTTGAATAGAACATTTCATTTTTCACCGAATGAAAATAGTCTTACCATTGCACGAAAAAACATTCATTATTTGTTTTATATAATACCAAAATAGACTAATAGATTCGTATGAGAAGCATTTTGAGGGATGCGATTTATCGAAAACACAAATAGTGCAATTGTACTATAACGTTTTGTTCCATTGCACTCGCAGATGGAACGTATTCCACTGCACTCTTCGGAAATGGAATTTTCTATTCAATATCATGTGACCATAAACAGCCAATTAAACGATCAGAATTCAATAAGGTATTATATAATTACCATTGTTGAGTGAGTATGTTCTTAACAAGTCGTCCCATCTTGTCTGCAGAACCGGGTGGGCTAAACGAAAATATGAAAAAAGCCCAGATGACACGAGTGCATGAGAGTTGGCAGTCACGTGACCTTGGTTAGCTGTTCTTAATGCTTTCCCAACACTATCATGTATTCTATTAAGTTAAAACATAGTTGTAACACTTATCGCACCTTTATTTTGTTAACCTAGAAATATCCCCATGTGACTGACAACTATCATCCTTGTTTAATTTGACCGGGGGCTTAACTCTCACAAACGTAACTCTTGTTTGTTCACTCTCGTCAATTCTCATCAAATTCCACATTGTTCAAATTTTTATTTGATTTTCAAACTCATTAATAATTCATGAGTAAATTAGCCAACCGTATTGCTTGATTTTGCTCGCATGATAATGCTAACATTTTCGCGCGTTTGTTTACGTTTGAAACGGAGCGTTTACCGTTGGAAACGTAAATGTTTCACTGCTCATGTGACGTGTTACAGTGCAAATTCAGTCATTTTTCATGTTTTAATGTGCTTTCGTGTACGTTTCAGTATTTCCAAGCTCAAGATATTGTAAGAGCGACCAAACTTGTTTATATTCATACTTTTTATCACTAGAACGTATTATCATGGGCTTGAAAATATTGAAACGTGCACCGAGGCACATCAAAACATGACAATTGCGCCAAAAATAGCTTAAGGCTTTTCACTGTGACACGTCACATGAGCGGTGAATACATTTCAGTTTCCAACGGTAAATGCCTCGTTTCAAACGTAAACAAACGCGCGAAAATGTTTGCGGTTTGTGCTTGGATGCAAATTGCTGTAGGACTGGATCAAAATTAATTCACCTTAAGTAGTGATTTACTCGTATGAGATGTCATTTCAAATCCTCCAATTCGGACTAGACTAGATTTCAAGTCCTCACATTTTGATTCAGTCCTCGGCTTCACCTCGGACTTGATCAAATTGCGCGGGCTTGAAATCTAGTCCAGTCATCATTGTCGGATGAAACCCGTAGGTGGTTTACTCACTGTGCAATTTCTTCACCACCCATCTGAAAGAGAACGTCAGTCGATGTCATCCCTAACGTAAATCCATTTACATCCAGAGTACAGGGATCTGAGAAAAACTGTAGCGATGATATCTGAAATAAAATAAGCACGAAAGTTGAAGGGTATTGTAGATGGAAATTATCGAGTGGAAATTTATATACATTTATTAGATCTAACCAGGAACAACTGCGAAAAATGCAACTTTAGGTACTTGGTAAGAATCGAACCTGCGATCGTGCATGCGATTCCGGTGCAGCGTTCTAACCAACTGAGCTACAGAGGCCAGTTGTCGAGCTCTAACCACAAGTTCATGTATATTTACTACAGACCTGGAAATAGTTGTGGATCCTGGGAACGACGTTCCTAGAAAATTTTTTATTGCTAGAAAGGACTTTCAATTTTCTTTGGCAGAAAGTTTTGAAATTTCTTTAAAAAAAATTATCCCATAAAAATCAACAAGAAGAAAATTTTCCAAATGTTCCACAGTGTTTTCAAAGAAAATATTTCCCCCTGGTCTAGGATCCAAGAAAGGCTAGAATTATTTCCAGGTCTGATATTATACTAGGGTACTGTCATGTTAGGTTATGGTATGGTTATGGGTAAATATCAAGATTTTGTTGGTATCTCACTCGATTGAATAATAGTTGAAGGGTCTTTTAGATGGAGATTATCGAGTGGAAATGATATACATTTATTAATGTCCTTCCAATTAAAGTGTTCCTCAAATATTGATTCAATACATTACCTCAGGCTGACCAATTCATTTCATCAAGTTCCTCGAGATATTCATACACTTCCTGTGAAAGAGCCAATTCCAAGTATTTGATCATTTCTGGTCACTTCCTTTCTACTTATGATTGGTTAGATGCACAAACAACAAAGGTGATTGGTGCATTCAAACTATTCAACGGGAAGTTTACAATTATACTAGGAAGTGTATGAATATTTCGAGGAACTTGGTCAAATGAATTGGTCAGCCCGAGGTAATGTATTGGATCAATATTTGAGGAACATTTCAATTGTAACGACAGTAACTTAACCAGGAACAGATGCGAAAACGTTTATACTCTTCACTGTTTGAAATCGACACAGTTGAGCAACCAACAGTGACTTCAAAATCAGTATGCGCAAGATAATGCGCAGATGGGCAAAAATTGTCAAGTACGCCGTCGTCAGTGAGCTCTATATATAACTGGAGCAAGAAATTCGAAAATTATCATTTAATTTGCAATTAATAAGCTTTCGGCGAATGTTTTTCTTAGTGGTAAGAAGGAATACATTGGTATTCTTTTGTTTTCTCTAACCAAATGTATACAACGCTAATAATATGCATTTCAAATCATGCATTTCTTATTTGTTTCGAGTACAAATGCCTGTAAATACCATTGACCTCGCTTGCTCGGTATGTACAGACAAATATCGCACCTGCGTCTTTTTTTACAAATCTCGCACTATACGGGCTCGGTCTGTACAAAAAAGACCTCGGTCCGATATTTCTCTGTACAGACCTCGCGTTCGGTTAATAAGAAGTTATTAACTTGCAAAGGAAAGCGAATAGTTAAAGACAATGAAAGGAAATTGTTGAAGTGAACTTACGTTCTTGTCTATATCATCTCTCTCCTTCTGCAAAAATGAAGAAAATAATTAGTGTGCTGGCAAAGAACATAAGATTTGCATATCAGATTTCATTATATTAAATAAAATAAACTCAACTAATAACAAAGTATGACTGTGTATAAAGAAATATCAAGTCTCGGCAATACACCCTTCCTGAAAGGTATTTTGTTGTGGCCAAAAAGCGTCGTTTCCGTGATTGAGACATTAGCTTTAGAGCCCTTTACAGAGGTGTAACAACATTCACCCGCTTGCCCGAGGCAAGTGAATACCACGACGGGCAAGTAAACGTTTTATCTTGCTTGCCCGGTTGGGTAAGTTGCCTTGCCACAGAAAGCTGGGCATCTTTCAGTTTATGCTTTCAATGTAGGATATAAATTTTTTATAGTGCATGGACTAGATTCAAATTTTGTTTCTCGTGTGCCAAAATAGATCTGAGGAGGCATAACAAAGCCATATAGACAAGTGGAAGAACGGTTGAGGAGCCATCTTGTTGACAAGTTGTTGGAACAGCATTGTCGACAAACCTATTCCAAACATATCTTGTTGACAAGTTGGTGGAACAGTGTTGTCACAACTCGTTAACAAGCTTACTACAAGCCTGTTGAAGAGTCACCTTGTTGACAAGTTGTTGGAACAGTATTGTCACAACTTGTTAATTAACAAGCTTGGTACAAACCTGATGCGAATAATCTTGTTGACAAGTTGTTGGAACAGTATTATCACAACATGTCAACAAGCTTGATACAAGCTTGTTGAGGAGGAATCTTGTGGACAAGTTATTGGAACAGTATTGTCACAACTTGTTAACAAGCTTGCTACAACCCTATTCCAAACACATCGATCTTGTTGACAGGTTGTTTGAATAGCATTGTCAGAACTTGCTAACAAGTTTTTTTTTGTTTTTTGTTTTTGTTTTTTTTGGGTTTTTTTTTGCTACAAACACGATGCAAAAAATCTTCTTGACAAGTTGTTGGAAGAGTATTGTCACAACTTGTTAACAAGCTTGCTACAAGCCTGTTGAGAAGACATCTTGATCACAAGTTGTTGGAACAGCATTGTCACAATTTGTTAACAAGCATGCTACAAACTTGTTGAGGAGACAACATGTTGACAAGCTCTTGGTATTGTATTGTCACAACTTGCTAACAAGCTTGCTACAAACCTGTTGAGGAGACATGTTGTTAACAAGTATTCGGAACAGTATTGTGACAATTTGTTAACAAGCTTGCTACAAGCCTGTTCAAGAGACTCTTGTTGACAAGTTGTTGGAACAGCATTGTCACAACTTGTTAACAAGCTTGCAACAAGCCTGTTGACAAGACATCTTGTTGACAAGTTGTTGGAACACTTTTGTCACAATTTGTTAACAAGCCTCCTACAAACCTATTGCCAACACATCGCTTTTGTTCACAAGCCGATGGAACACCATTGTTTACACTTGTTAACAAGCTTGCTACAAACCTATCGCGAAAAATCTTGTGGACAAGTTGTTGGAAGTGTATTATCACAACTTGTTAACAAGCTTACTACAAGCCGGTTGAGGAGATATCTTGTTAACAAGTTCTTGGAACAGTATTGTCACAACTTGTTAACAAGCTTGCTACAAGCCTGCAGAGGAGACATATTGTTGACAAGTTGTTGGAGCAGTATTCTCACAACTTGTTAACAAGCTTGCAACCAGCCGGTTGAGGAGATATCTTGTTAACAAGTTCTTGGAACAGTATTGTCACAACTTGTTAACAAGCTTGCTACAAGCCTGTAGAGGAGACATATTGTTGACAAGTTGTTGGAACAGTATCGTCACAACTTGTTAACAAGCCTGGTACAAGTCTGTTGAGGAGATATATTAACAGGTTGTTCGAACAGTATTGTCACCACCTGTTAACAAGCTTGCTACAAACCTCTTGAGGAGAAATCTTGATGACAATTTGCCGGAACAGTATTGTCACAACTTGTTAACAAGCATGCTACAAGCCTGTAAAGGAGAGATCTTGTTGACAAGTTGCGCGAACAGTATTGTCACAACTTGTTAACAAGTTTGCCACAAATCTATTGCGAACACATCTTGATGACAAGTTGTTGGAACAATTGTGTTAAAACTTGTTAGCAAGATTGCTACAGGCCTGTTGAGGAGATATCTTGTTGACAAGTTGTCGGAACAGTATTGTCACAACATGTTAACAAGCTTGCTACAAGCCTGTTGAGGAGACGTCTTGTTCACAAGTTGTTGGAACAGTATTGTCACAACTTGTTAACAAGCTTACTACAGGCCTGTTGAGAAGACATCTTGTTCACAAGTTGTTGGAACAGCTTTGTCACAACTTGTTAACAAGCTTGCTACAAACCTGTTCAGAAGACGTCTTGTTGACAAGTTGTTGGAACAGTATTCTCACAACTTCTTAACATGTTTGCTACAAACCTGTTGAGGAGACATCTTGTTGACAAGTTGCTCGAACAGTATTGTCACAACTTGTTAACAAGCTTGCTACAAGCCTGTAGAGGAGACATATTGTTGACAAGTTGTTGGAACAGTATTGTCACAACTTGTTAACAAGCTTGCTACAAGCCTGTTGAGGAGATATCTTATTAACAAGTTGTTGGAACAGTATCGTCACAACTTGTTAACAAGCCTGGTACAAGTCTGTTGAGGAGATATATTGTTAACAGGTTGTTGGAACAGTATTGTCACAACTTGTTAACAAGCTTGCTACAAACCTGTTGAGGAGAAATCTTGATGACAATTTGCCGGAACAGTATTGTCACAACTTGTTAACAAGCATACTACAAGCCTGTAGAGGAGAGATCTTGTTGACAAGTTGGTGGAACATTATTCTCACAACTTCGTAACAAGCTTGCTACAAGCCTATCGACAAGACATCTTGTTCACAAGTTGTTGGAACAGTATTGTCACAACTTTCTAACAAGCTTGCTACAAACCTGTTGAGAAGACGTCTTGTTGACAAGTTGTTGAAACAGTATTGTCACAACTTGTTAACAAGCTTGCTACAAACCTGTTGAGAAGACATCTTCTTCACAAGTTGTTGGAACAGTATTGTCACAACTTGCTAACAAGCTTGCTACAAACCTGTTTAGGAGACATCTTGTTGACAAGTTGCTCGAACAGTATTGTCACAACTTGTTAACAAGCTTGCTACAAACCTATTGCGAACACATCTTAATGACAAGTTGTTGGAACAATTGTGTCAAAACTTGTTAGCAAGATTGCTACAGGCCTGTTGAGGAGATATCTTGTTGACAAGTTGTTGGAACAGTATTGTCACAACTTGTTAACAAGCTTACTACAAGCCTGTTGATGGGACGTCTTGTTGACAAGTTGTTGGAACAGTATTCTCACAACTTCTTAACAAGCTTGCTACAAGCCTGTCCAGAAGACTTCTTGTTCACAAGTTATTGGAACAGTATTGTCACAACTTTCTAACAAGATTGCTACAAACCTGTTGAGAAGACGTCTTGTTGACAAGTTGTTGGAACAGTATTGTCACAACTTGTTAACAAGCTTGCTACAAACCTGTTGAGAAGACATCTTGTTGACAAGTTGCTCGAACAGTATTGTCACAACTTGTTAACAAGCTTGCCACAAATATATTGCGAACACATCTTGATGACAAGTTGTTGGAACAACTGTGTTAAAACTTGTTAGCAAGATTGCTACAGGCCTGTTGAGGAGATATCTTGTTGAAAAGTTGTCGGAACAGTATTGTCACAACATGTTAACAAGCTTGCTACAAGCCTGTTGAGGAGACGTCTTGTTCACAAGTTGTTGGAACAGTATTGTCACAACTTGTTAACAAGCTTGCTACAGGCCTGTTGAGAAGACATCTTGTTCACAAGTTGTTGGAACAGCTTTGTCACAACTTGTTAACAAGCTTGCTACAAACCTGTTCAGAAGACGTCTTGTTGACAAGTTGTTGGAACAGTATTCTCACAACTTCTTAACATGCTTGCTACAAACCTGTTGAGGAGACATCTTGTTGACAAGTTGCTCGAACAGTATTGTCACAACTTGCTAACAAGCTTGCTACAAGCCTGTAGAGGAGACATATTGTTGACAAGTTGTTGGAACAGTATTGTCACAACTTGTTAACAAGCTTGCTACAAGCCTGTTGAGGAGAGATCTTATTAACAAGTTGTTGGAACAGTATCGTCACAACTTGTTAACAAGCCTGGTACAAGTCTGTTGAGGAGATATATTAACAGGTTGTTGGAACAGTATTCTCACAACTTGTTAACCAGCTTGCTACAGGCCTGTTGAGAAGACATCTTGTTCACAAGTTGTTGGAACAGTATTGTCACAACTTTCTAACAAGCTTGCTACAAGCCTGTAGAGGAGACATCTTCTTGACAAGTTGTTGGAGCAGTATTCTCACAACTTGCTAACAAGCTTGCTACAAGCCTGTTGAGGAGATATCTTGTTAACAAGTAGTTGGAACAGTATTGTCACAACTTGTTAACAAGCCTGCTACAAGTCTGTTGAGGAGATATATTGTTAACAGGTTGATAGAACAGTATTGTCACAACTTGTTAACAAGGTTGCCACAAACCTGTTGAGGAGACATCTTGATGACAAGTTGCTGGAACAGTATTGCCACAACTTGTTAAGAAACTTGCTACAAGCCTGTTGTTGAGACATCATGTTGATAAGTTCTTGGAACAGCATTGTAACAACTTTTTTTTTGGCTGTGTTGGTGTAGTGTACTCAGGTGAATATGGTATTTGTGGTGTTACTCTCGCCCAGATTGTCACAACTTGTTAACAAGTTTGCTACAAGCCTGTTGAGAAGACGTGTTGTTGAGAAGTTGTTGGAACAGTATTGTCACAACTTGTTAACAAGCTTGCTACAAACCTGTTGAGGAGGCATCGTGATGACAAGTTGCTGGAACAGTATTGTCACAACTTGTTAACAAGCTAATTGGTACAAGCCTGTTGAGGAAACATATTGTTAACAGGTTGTTGGAACAGTATTGTCACAATTTGTTATCAAGCTTGCTACAAGCCTGTTGAGGAGATATATTGTTAACAGGTTGTTGGAACAGTATTGTCACAACGTGTTAACAAGCCCGCTACAAGCCTGTTGAGGAGATATACACCCTTTTCATAAATGGCTGCCGATTAAAAATTCTTTTATGTGCATATAAATTGGCCCAACTAGCCTCGTACTCATGTTAGGATTTCAAAGGAATTTCTACCCAGAAACGAGGCTAGTTGGGCCAATTTATATGCACATAAAATAATTTTTAATCGGCAGCCATTTATGAAAAGGGTGTATACAGTATTGTTAACAGGTTGTTGGAACAGTATTGTCACAATTTGTTAACAAGCTTGCGACAAACCTGTTGAGGAGACATCTTGTTAACAGGTTGCTGGAACAGTATTGCCATAACTTGTTAAGAAACTTGCTACAAGCCTGTTGTTGAGACATCATGTTGACAAGTTATTGGAACAGCATTGTCACAACTTGTTAACAAGTTTGCTACAAGCCTGTTGAGAAGACGTGTTGTTAACAAGTTGTTGGAACAGTATTGCCACAACTTGTTAACAAGCTTGCTAGAAGCCTGAAACAGATTATCAAACTTAGTGACAAGCTTGTTACAAGGCTGTTCAGGAGACATCTTGTTCACAAGTTGCTGGAATAGCATTGTCACAATTTGTTAAAAAGCTTGCTACAAGGCTGTTGAGGAGACGTCTTGTTGACAAGTTGTTTGAACAGCATTGTCACAACTTGTTAACAAACTTGCTGCATTTGTTGACAAGTTGTTGGAACAGCATTGTCACAACTTGTTAACAAGCTTCCTACAAGGCTGTTGAGAAGACATTTTGTTGAGAAGTTGCTGCAAGAGCAATCTGACAACTTGTTATGAGGAAACACCTTGTTGAGAAGTTATTGGAACAGCATTGTCACAACTTGTTAGCCTGTCGCGGAGATATCTTGTTGACAAGTTGTTGGAATAGCATTGTCACAATTTGTTAACAAGCTTGCTACAAGCCGGTTGAGGAAACATCTTGTTGACAAGTTGTTGGAACAGCCATTCAGAACAACATTCCCAATTTCCTCGAGTGTTGATATAACTGTACATATATCAATACCCAAAAATATAACCAAATATTTCAATGATGAAAACTAGGCTCTATAGCCAAGGCTGCATGAGTACATTCCAGAAGGGTGTATTGCGTGGAAAAGCTATGATTTTTGTTACCTGAGCCAACTTGGCTGACTGATTCTTTTTCTTATTCTGGAAGAAAGTAAGTTTAAAACAACAACAGTTGATGACTTTCAAATTCAAACGAACGTTTAAATTTTAATAACGGCCTACAGCCTATAAACTTACAATGACTGAATTTAAAGTATTCATAATGTCCTTTGAACAAAATGGTGGTTGTGGATAGACACAGTTGTGGTGTACATCTCTTTGAGATGGAATTATCACGAACTTCGTTGATAGTCTGTAACAAAAGAAACAAAACTTTGTCAAGTATTAAAATTTAAAGAGGCAGCCAAGTGCGTTCTGCTCATGCGCGTGTTTGGTTTTGAGATAATTCAATAGACCTTTCCGGCAATTACGTCACAACTACACTGTTTTCAACATAGGACCACCTTAAATGGAATGGATTTTAAGTTTGTTTCTCATGGGCCATGGTCAGAGGAGGTCATGGGCCATGGTCGGAGGAGCAGAACATCCTCCGTCAACACATGCATAAAAAATAATTTTGGATTTTGACTATTAAATGTGGAAATAATCTTAAACACGAAAACGAGGCTGAGGGTCCATGGCCCCTTTTGGCCCGAGGTCCAGGTCGTCTGAACAAGCGCCTTTCACCTCTGAGATCGTGGGTTTGATTCACGCTACGGACTCATGTGAAAAGAGTCAGTCAATGCTCTGCCGAAAGTCCTGGGTTTTCTCCGGGTGCCCCGGTTTCCTCCCACAGGGAAAAGTTGACAGGGTGGGTTAGGATAAACACAGTTAAGAAATTAATGTCACAATGGACCTTTCCCCTTATAACTAAAAGTTTGATCTAGACAAACATTTTATCACAGCTTGAAAGAGCATCACAAAATTAGTAATATTCCAAAGTTTCGTTGCAAAATGTTGTAAAATGCGGATAATATAGCCTTGCGAAATTTGCCGTTTTTCAGTCATTTTGTATTACGCATGGGAAATTGACAGCCCAATCGGGTGTTGGGGCATCAATTTCCCGTTTGTACAGTACATAATACAAAACGACTGGAAATTGCAAATTTCGCAAGGCTATATTATCCACATTTTACAACATTTCGCAACAAAACTTTGGAATATTACTAATTTTGTGATGCTCTTTCAAGCTGTGATGAAATTTTTGTCTAGATCAAAATTTAGTCTCCTGTATAATGCAAATGGTCCATTGTTGTAAAGATAAAATAGTCTAGGGTACAGTAAGTACAGTATGTAATCAGGTAAGTGTATACTTGATGTAAAGCGCATTTGATCGTATATCCACATGTAAATTTATGATATACAGTATAAATGCTAAGTACAGTAATCGTAATGCTCCTTGTAATTGATCCACTTTGAATAAAAACATTCAAAACTTTGACACCATACCTCTTGGCGCATTCACCAATCTCGTTTATTTTACGTGCAAATAGTTCTTGAAATGTCTCGTGGATTTCGCATTTCTAAAAAGGAATCAAAATATCGTAATCGGACTCATGAAAATGACAATAGATTGGTCAGCCCTCAGCCTCACTGTTATGGACTTACTTCAATCAAGTCATTTTTCGCATCAACGAACGGCCCCATCTAAAAGAGCAAAGTAAAATGGGAAGTCAAATAGGAATGAAAGTTGATGAGAATTGAAACGCTTATCGTCGCGTTTGATGGGATAGGTCTGCAAGCTCTAAACTGTCTACCCCATATGTCCAGGACGGGAATGAACTAACTTTATCTATAATGGATAGCTCTACCAATCTAAACTGTTCTCTCCAGAGATCCAGTAATTAGTAAAGGTGGTTTCATGGTCCAATGCTACTGCAGGAGCTAACTGGAGTTCCTGGAAAAATCCTGTGATGTTTTGGTTGAGTCACACTCAGAATCATTTCCCTCACAGGCGAAACAACAATCAGAGGATTCAGACAATCGCATGTTGCAGGAATTATATTTCTGCACTAGGGCTTATATTACAACATCAAGATTTTTGGGTACAAAGGCCGCGGAAGTATTTTGAAAGTGTAGGGGCATTAGCCAAAAGGGGCACTTTTGTATATGACCAAAATCAAACGATTTTATGTCGTTCATGAGCCGAACGAAAATTTTTTGAAAATGTGGAGTCTCTATAATAAATGGAAATGGGCTTAATTTACAAAGTCTTTAGTACTGCAAAAAGGGCACTTGACTGCACAATGGCGTTCATTCAAGAAACACATTTTTTCATTTTTTAAATGAGGTACTTTAGCCCAGAAAAAGGGCACTTTTTCATTTTTAAAAAAAGGGGGCACATGCCCTCATTGCCCCCCCCCCCCCACGGTTCCGCGGTTCCAGTTTGGGTACTTGGTTCGATGGGACTTATAGTAGATGGAATTTTTGAACGAAAATTATACAGCTAATTTAAAAAAAGGTTGTCCTTTGCAAACCTTAAACTCTAAACCTTAAACCTTAACTCTAAGCGTGCAAAGCATATTGGGAGCATCATTTAACCAGTTTAGAAATCATATATGTGGCCCATTTCTCAGAGACATGGTAAATATCTCCTTATGAGAACAATTCATTCACAAATAGATGCAATAATCGACTATTAAGCTTGAAACTCGTGCTCAGCCATTAAGCTTTGCACGCTTAGAGTTTAAGGTTTAAGGTTTAGAGTTTAAGGTTTGCAAAGGAAAACCTTTTTTGAATTGGCTGTATACATTAAGACCTAACCAGGAGCAGATGCGAAAAATGTAACTGGAGTCTGTATTCTGTAGCTCAGTTGGTCAGAGCTCTGCAGCAGAGGGCCTATAGTTAAGGCCCATTTCCACTCAGGGAAATTTTCCGCAGAAAGAAAATTTTGTGAAATGTGATTGGCCGACACAAATTTTCCGTCGGAAAAAAATTTTGAAGTAGAAAATTTTCAACTTTTAACAATGATATTTTCGGAAAATTTTCTGTCCGTGGAAATTTTTCTTGAGTGGAAATGGGCCTTTACATTGTACAGGTAGCTGCTCGTGGTTAGATCTAAAATGTACAAAATTTACACTCCGAAAATTCCAAACAGAAACAAATCATCTATATTTAGATATTACTATACAATACCAAAACAACAAGATTAGGCTTCTCCTTCGACACTTGGCTTAAGAAATCAGTTAATGGTTCGTATGAGTCGCTCTCCGACGTCGTAAAAGGACCAACAGCGATAAAGATGGATAACGTTTCTGGATAAAAATGGAATTATAAAAATGTGTTTCAATAAATCATCAATTTATAATATAAATAAACTTGTATTCCGGAAATATTTGTATATTGAACTTGTACTTAAACTTGTATTGGTCCGAACGTTTTACAAACCTGTCTGAACATTTTTTGGCTCTGGAACCGGCGGTGGCAGTATCCCCTACAAATGAACCAAAAATTGCTAAAACTTGCATGTTAGACTAATTTTTGATCTAGGCAAAAAGAGTAAATTGCCGCAAAGAACGTATTAAAATTAGTAGAATTGCAAAATTTTGTTGAAATGTTGTAAAATACGGAAAATATAGCGTTTGCCATTTTGCATATTTTGTATATTTTTGTATACCGCACGTAATACAAATATACTGAAAATATGCAAACTTTGCAAGACTATATTTTCCAAGCTTTACAACATTTCGCAACCACATTTTGCAATTTTACCAATTTCATTATGTTCTTTTTAGTTGTGCTGTTTGATTCCCTTCTCTTTTCCTTAGATATAAAATACCGTGTAATACTCGAAAAAACTAATAGTAATTTGAACAAACCTCATAAAACGACGAGGCAATGAATTGTCCTCCCGTTGGATTTTTTCCTTTTACAGCAACGACCTTAAGCCAAAGACCACAGATAAGTTTGGAGAAACAAAAAAAAAACATTGTTGTGGGAACATCAATCTCGTTTCCAGAGTATGCCTGTTCGCATGCCACTACATAACCCGCGAACAGGCATACTCTGGGAACAAGATTGTGGGAACATTTGAAGGTTGTGATATTACCTCGTACAGTATGTCCCCCAGTTTGCCCAGAATTGGAAACATTATTTTCAGGGCAGGGTGTTTCAAAAGTGGCCGTCCA